GAGCCTATTTTGCAAGTTTTTAAAGAATTGTAACGATTGGCTCAATACATTTTTTTAAATCGACTCAGTCCTATTACTTTGCGGACAAACCCTGTATGTGGATGCCGCGACGCCGGCCTGACTTCAGGCAATTGATTTAGCCTGGTCGACAGGTGTCACTTTGATCAAGCGGAATCGTACAGCGTGACACAGTCGAGTGAACATTAAAAGAGCATTGTGATCAAAAATAGCGCGAACTTCTAGCAGATCCAAAATTACAGTTTCAACAAGCCTTAATAAAAAAAATTGTTAAGTTCACATCAAAATTTATCCGTGTACCAAGGCAAAAAGTCTAGGTGTTTCCTCTCAAACCGATACACTTCTGCTTTGCTTTGCTCTTCTCTTGTTTTTTCCTCTCTTTCGGTTTCTTTTTTCCTTGACCTAGTCTGGTTTCTGGGCAACGAAGATTGACAGTTCGACTAACGTACATTACACAGTGTCATTGAAAGTTTCATACCTATCAAATGCAGAATCATTTTGTAGGGGTAAGTTAAAAGTTTGACTTTTTGGGCGAAGCTAAAAATGCGGCATCTGTAATGTATTTACACCCAAGATAGAATGGATGCGTGATTGCGAAAAGCCAGGACGGCGTATAGGGCCGCATTCAGGGCTACCACCGACTGATGGACTACCACCAACGTGTTGTAAAACAAAGATGAGAGTATTTAACGAAATTATATAATATAGTGAAGTAGTTATAGTTAAGGGTGTCGCAAAATCAAATTTTAATTCTTGGAAGGGTGCTAAGTTTTTGTACAGATTTTTCAAACTAGACAACATGGAGAAATACATACCGGAGGTAACCAGCTGCTCACTATGCACAGTGAATCCGTAGTCAACGAGGGGTAGAGATGACACTTTTGTACACGGAATAAGTTAATATTTCACTATAACTAGGATTCCCATAATATGTATTCTGTGACAAAACGAAAACGCGAAACCTACTCAGACTCACTTGAAGAGATATCGTCATTAATGTTCATGATGATGGATTCAAAATCTCTCTCAATTATGTTGTCCAGCATTGCTACCTCCACTTTCTCCTGAACATGCTACACACATTTTTGCCATCTTTCTGGTGTGAAACGCTGTATAGCAATTCTGAACAGCTCTTGCATGTCAGAAAATTTAAATGTTGTATTGTGTGCAGCAACAAGATTCTTAACATCTGCCCATATGAGCTCAATGGGGTTGAGCTCACAGTGGTAAGGCAGCAAACGGAGTACTGTTTTGTGGTGTCCTTGGCCATTTCATCTATGACATATTTATCATGCCTTGGTCTGTGTTGTTTCACAATATCTAATAGTTGTAATTTCAGTAAGGAAGGGTCGAAAGTTATATTTTTGGAACGGAGCCAGCTCTGAATGTCTGATTTCGAAGCTGAAGTTGGGATTTTTTCTATTTTGCGAGAATGATAGGGAGCATTATCCAAAACAACCTCAGAATTGTCTTCGAGGCGTGGTAATATGCCTGAAAACCACTTCTCGAATGCTTCCCCATTCATCTCTTCATGGTAGTCAGCGGTTTTTTGACTCAAAAGGCGTCATCTACGAAGCCATCTACACCCCCAATGTGGCAAATAATGAGCCTTCTTCCTTTGCCTAGCAAGATAAAATCCGCTAAGTACACATGCACGTCTTGTAGGTACGAAGATAGAGAGATATTGTGCGCAAAAATTGAGACCGTGAACTACATCGATCTATTTACCTGCTGGATTTTTCAATCCGGTCGACAGTCCATCTAGAAATGCCCTTCTGGATGAAGTCACAGTTTTGTCAACGCATACCTTCGGAGCAGTGTGCCCAGCGTTAATCCAGGTTTCGTCCAGATAATGTGCTGATCCCTGAATGATTTAATTTTGGTCAGGTACTCTCTCCTCCACAGAACAATTTCTTCTCTATCCATAAGTAAGCTGTTACGACCTCGTTTCTTCCATTCGAAATTAAGATGCTTCAAAAGTTTGTGAATAGTCGAACGTTTGAAATTTGGTAACATAGCGTCCTCGTTAACCTCACGTAGTACTTTATCAACTGTCGGTATCTCGTTTCTGAAGAAGAACTCGTGCACTTTCCTCCAAATCACATGCTTGTCAGCGTCATCCAATGATCTTATGATACTTTTGCGAGTTTTACCCGTCATTGGCTTGGAAAAGGCATGCTTTTTCTTATGTTCGTTCAAAACATTGTACACTGTCGCTTGGCATACTCCAATTTTATCTGCCACTTTCAGAGCTATTTTCGGGTTAGTTGATGTTTCGTCTTCCTTCCGCTCTATCTTGAATGTATTTGATCGCTTTCTAGGAGGGCTAAGGGAGTAGCCTACAGCCTCGTCAGCAGTATCTGTACTGGACATGTTCAGGATTGGTTCAAAAAAAATAATAACGAGGAATAACAATAACAAGCAGAAACTTAACAAATTACTCAAATACACTTAACAGCAACAACCAAGCAAGGTGAATACGGAAACACGAGCACGCAGTGATACACGCGACGGTCGGTGTCCTGAACGCAACTCTGCCTGCCCTGCCCCTGCCCCGCGCATTATTCCGCCAGGCGACCGCTTGAAATTTAATGGCGAATTGACCAATAAGAGACGTTGTCCTGTTACCGAGAGATCACGCGCTAACTGTTATTATTTACATCTCATCTTGAATTTGGATTCATTTTAGAGTTGTTCAAATACAAATTGTTATTGTTGCACCATATTTGTAAAAAAATATTTGATGTTGGAGGTTTTCACAACCTTGCTGGCTAGAAACAGATTATCAGCAAACATATGCTTGTTGCATGATGATGAACTGCAAAGATCGTTGACAATATTAGCTTATGTCCGTTCTTATCATACTAACTTCACCCCTCAAGGGTTTGCACTCCTCAAGGGTTTGAGGTTGCCTGGAACAGGGGTGGTGGAGGGACAGCACATGGTAGGAGAGTGTGTGTGTGTGTGTGTATCGTACTTTGAGAAATCGGTCGTCTACCGAACTATGAGACTTAAGAGCAAGCCGACCGCAAAGCGGTGACCAACAACTGGTCCTCGCGGTGCCGACGCTATTAATCGCGTCTATTTCCAAGAGGAAATTGGCACAGGCTAAAAAAATCACCGTCGAAGATCGAAAGATATGTGCCGTAGCTGGAATGAACCACTCGATAGATCTGTTAAAAGGACTTACCGCGATATTTCACTCGAGTAGCAGCCGGTGCGTTTCAGCGTAGACTGTAATGGGGATTCGATTATGATCGCAATGCTTGGATCTATATTTTTTCTTCCCACGGTATAGGAATGTAATGCGGTCAGAGTAAAAATTAGGTTTGCACAAGGCTGAAAATTGGCACAGATCTTAAATATACCATTATAAATAATATACCAAAACTTATCATACGTGTATATCCTTGTTTTGTTTGATATGATTGAAATGTCAAAAATAGCACGTTTCGTCATATTTCTCTAAAATACCACAAAAGCACCTCATACAAAAATGCAGAGAATACAATTATCTATAAAAGCTGTCCGATTACTTTTATTCCTTGAGTCAGGTGGCATATATTATGTGTACACCATCAACTGAAATGTCTACCACTTTTACAGGAAAGGGAAGTGGTATTTTCGGAAAAAATCATCCCCACTTCAATTCCTTCAGTCTTTCAATGTGATCTGACGCGTAGTATCAAAACGATCTCGTATTGTTAGTTATCTGAAGCGCCTATCTTGACACTCTGTGGTACGCCTCGGCGGACCAGCTGGCCTTCTTCGGGTTCCTCAACCTCCTTGTATCCACACACGACACACACGCAGTACCGTCATTGCAATTAACACGGCGGCCAATTTCGCCATAGGACAAACCAATATAGGCAATATTTCTACCCTTGTCAAAGTCCCTAACATGGTGATAATTTGGACGTTTTCGAACTCATTTTTCCTTTTACTTCCTATTTTTTCTGGCA